GTCCTACAATTCACACCTTGCTGGGAAGTCCAGACCTGGATTTATTGGTTCAATGCATTTCCAGCACAACATCCACCACCACAAGTATCTGGTGGAGATTAAAATTACCCCACCCTAATGGGACCCATCAGGAATACCACTGAGAAAATACTGCCACCTTTCCACATGTGAATCTTCCTAGCTGTCAAAGTTAGACAGGACTCACAGATTTGTCAGACCGCTCTGTTTATTCAGCAAAGCTGCTCTGCCAAATTAACCCAGAAAATGTGAGTACCATACAAGGTTCAAACCCCTTGATTTATACAGTCAAAAGAAAGCCAAGTTAACAGGATTAAAAGGAGGGGCAAAACTTCACATGATTAGTATGAGACTTAGTCAAGTATCTTCATTTCAACATCAAGCACACAGCAATCTCGGGTCCATATCTCCCTGGTTATCTCTAATTGCTTTCTGCTTAACACTTAATGTTCCTTTTCCTGTTAACTCAGGCCCACCTGGCTAGCACATTGATCTGCATACCTACAAACAACATTAACATACTTTTCTTCTTCCTGTTCAGAGACAAACAGTATTCCTTCAACTTATTCAATTATTACAGCACAATTCATCTTTCTCTTACATTATAATTCTTTCTACTTTCACATAGCGAAGGTGCTGCCGCGTGGCCATATGCTGTGCTTCCCGCCCACAAGGGGGCAATCAAACTCATCGTCTAGATGATGGTGTTATAGGCATTGATTCAGAATGTGTAGCAGCACACAGGGATTGTAGCAATCTGACTTCATGCCAGATGCATCTACACAGAATGCAAACCACAGTTTCTTCCTGGCTTCCCCTTGTTTTGATTTCCGGCCAGATGAAATTTGAAAGCAAATAGAGTGAGTAATTATGTACTGCCTGCCTAAATTCCCTTCTGGAATTCCAATGGTAGGTTGTAGTTTTTTCTCCTTCCCCTTCCACAATGTTTCCTCTAATGTTTTTATCCATGTGCACATTTTTTCCATCTATGTCCAGAATACATTTTCATGTGTTCCTAGGCTTGTGTGAATATCCACTACCGATAGAAACACAAAATCTACCTGTGTGCACTCTACTAATCAGCTTGGGTACGTCTACACTGTAGAGCTATTCTGGGATACTGCAAGTATCAATATTCCACATCTACTGAAGCAGCCTGTTATTTCAAAATAGATTTCAAAATAATCTATGCAAATAAGATACACAATTTGCATAGCACAAATTACGTAGCTTATTTCAAGCTAAGGGTGTTGTGTAGATGCACCTCTAGGTAGTATCTTAATTTCTCCAGAGCCACTGCACAAGCTCACAGCTTTCTGTGAACACTACTGTCCTCCTCTCTTCTGTGCAGGTGAAGTGTGTTGTTCAACATCTGTTGTATTGCATCAGAAGTGAATGCATTTGAGGGTACAACATTGTATAATCTGTACTGTACATCAGTTTTGTAAAAAGCTTTAGGACTCTTCTGAAATGAAAGTTCTTATTCTCCATTATTGATTGTAGAACACATTCAATGTTTTTTTGTAAAATTAAACTGTTTCATGCTATTAAAATTATACAAAATGTCTTTCCCAAATATGGACAGCTTGGTCCCTTTGCCACCTATCTCCAAGCCACACATTAAACATAAAGTAAAGACATCCCCCAGTGTCAACAGAAGTGACCTCATTACAATCAACATATGTTTGGAATGCCTCTTCCTGACCAATTTAGAAAATACTTTTCAAAGTTTAGACATCTCTTCTGAAACCCAGAAAAGGAATTTGTGGATTTTTCCATTGAAGATTTTTTCAAAAGCTCATTACTTTTAGTTGTTTTCATTATTCATAACTCATTCCTGTATTTCATCATGTGTCTGTTGTTAGCCAATAAAGATGTGCTTTGTCTAAAACGTACCCGTTCTTTACATCAGGGAATATTTCACTTCTAATTCCTGTGAGGTAAAAGCCTCAAGGCAGAATTAATTTCTCAAAACATTTAGTCCACTTTTACTAGTATAAAATATTTGTCCTCACTCTTCTAAATACTCAGTCTGCAGGCACTTTAAGTGAGTAGTGTTATTTGTTACACAGAACCAATTATTCAAATATAATGTGAGCTCTTGAATTTTCATGAGCTAGTTCCAATAACAGAACCAGGAATATATCAAGGGTCCCTGTAGTACATCATCCTCTCTTGTATTTCTATGGTATGTATGGGCCAAAGGTGACGGCATAACCCAGATACTGTTCAGTGCTAACCCAGGTTTGTAATCTGATATGCAGAGAATTGAAGCCTGCGTAGTACCATGGGAAGCACACCATTTAAAATCCTTTTTGCTTTTTACTAAAAATACAGAAAAGAAGCAAAAAACAGGTACCGTATGTGAACTGTAAAGTATTAAGTCAGGCTTTCATTTTTATCAATCTCCTTTGTTTTCTTTAGCTGAGGTTGATTTTCACTTGAAATCTCACTGCTGGAAAAGATCTTGTGCTGGGGAAGATGAGGGTTTTGTGGGGCGCGGGGCAGTGCAATTTCACAGGGCCCCCATGTGACACGGCGCATGTGCCGTGGTGCCACGGTGCATGCGCGGGGCCTCTTGAAGCGCGGGGCCCAGGGCAGCCACCCTGCTCGCCCTGCCCTGTATCCGCTGCTGCCTTGTGCGGTACCTTGTGTTATCAGACCATGCCAAAATGGGGCAAACTTCTACCTGTTTTAGGCTGTTTAGGACATTGCTTTTAGCTGCCTCTTTCTGGTTACAGGGCTTACAGCAGTGTTGTGAACTATATTCTTGGCCAGCAAGGCCAGACTCTTATTAGACAGAAGAAAAAGGTAGCGAGAGCTAACAAAAAGAAGAAATAAATTAGGGAATGAAATGGGCACATTGGGGGAGAGATGCAGCCACTTCTGGAGTTGACCGTGGCACCTGGTGAGAACGAAACAGCGAGGACTATC